GACTAGTGGTCTTGAAATTCTATTCAAAAATTTGAACAGGAAATAATACAAATAATTCTGTACTGATCCCACAGAGTACTCACTCACAAACTGACAATAGATCAGAAGGTAAATATAGGCTAGGTTCATGTACTGTATTAAACTCTGGCTCGCTTAAATAATGATTTGTGGGATAAGAGAGACTAACTCGGTTAAAATATAAACATACCATAGTTGCTTGATTCAAAAGTCATGCTAAGCAAAAGCAAAGAAACTGTGTGATGGTTTAGTGTCAAATATGAATCTGACCACCTTCTTGTTTTTGCTATTTGCCCAGGGACCAAGAGCAGCTGGAAAGCTGCGAGCATCACTTCCCAGGATAAGTATCAAGCAAGAGGAACAATAACCTGCTCCCTTTTGTCAACTGAATAAGGAACTGGCTCCCCTTTCCCTGACAGAAAGCAGATCCTGCTTCAGTTACCAGTAACTATGGCAGCGAAGAAAATATTGGAAGTAAACCCAGGCTTTGCCAGAACAACAAGAAGGTAAGCCTAGACTTCATGTGGGATGTGGCTTTAATAATTACTACTACTACTATTACTACTACTATTATTATTATTAACACACCAGATATCACAGTTGTTGAAAACCAAAACGTACAATTTATTAACACTGCGGTACCAGGAGATGCCAGAGTCGAAGAAAAAGAACTGGAAAAAATAATCTGGAAATAACTGGAAATATCGCGACCTGGCCATCAAAACTACATGGCTATGGATGAAACATGTAATAGTGATGCCTGTTGTCACTGGGGCACTTGGTACCATGTCCAAGAATTTTATAAGATACAACAATAAATTGCAGCTTCCTGCAATAACACCAGCGGAAGTGTAAAAAACTGTGTTACTCGGAACATCGTACATCTTAAGAAGGTACTTGGTTGATACCTAGGACGCTGGCAGCAACCCAAATCAACCATTAGCACCTGTCAATGGTATTTGTGATGCATTTTTGCATTTTCAGTTGATTGAGTTTCATGTTTAATGAATAAAGTAAATAATAATAATAATATGCAATACTTTACATTAAAATTGGCAGTGTTTTGGCAGACAGGTAAGGATTCCTTCTCTCTCTCTCTCTCTCTCTCTCTCTCTCTCTCTCTCTCTCTCTCTCTGTGTGTGTGTGTGTGTGTGTGTGTGTGTGTGTGTGTGTGTGTGTGTGTATTGCGGCTGTAAGACAAGTGGAACAGCTTCCAAGAGGAAAAATGGGACCTTTTATGTTTTGAATTTCTGTTTCTGTTAATCCTGTAATTTATTAATTTTGCTGATGTAGTAGTTTAGGTGCAGGCCTAGAATCCAGGAAACTGTGAGTTCTAGTCCCACCATGGGCATGAAAGCTGGCTGGGTGACTTTGGGCCAGTCATTTTCTCTCAGCCCAGCTCACCTCACAGGGTTGCTGTTGCGGGGAAAATAGGAGCAGGAAGGAGTATTATGCATCTTCATTGCCTTGCGTTACTTACAAAGTAATAAAGGCAGGATAAAAATCTAATAAATAAATAATAAATAGTAAAATATCCAATAGCAGTTTGATACTAAATTTCATGAGCTGGAATTCAGGAAGCTCTTGGGAAGGCAAATAAAAAAGGGGCTACAAAGGTCCACAGTATATGTTTTATCTTGGAAAACTAACCCCTTCCCTTTTTTCCTTCCATTCTTTTTCGTTTGCACTGGTTTCAATTTTTAAACTAAATGCATCAAATTAATACAGGTAGTCCTTGACTTACAACCGTTCATTTAGTGACCGTTCAAAGTTACAATGGCACTGATAAAAGAGACTCACGACAGTTTTTCACACTTAAGACCTTTGCAGTATCCCCATGATCATGTGATCAAAATTCAGATGCTTGGCAGCTGACTCATACTTACGACTGTTGCTGTGTCCCATGTGATCCTCTTTTGTAATCTTTTGACAAGCAACATCAATGGGGAAGCCAGATTCACGTAATAGCTGTGCTGCTAACTTATCAACTGCGGTGATTCACTTAACAACTGTGGCAAGAAAGGTTGGCAGAAGGGGCAAAACTCACTTAACAAATGTCTCACTTAACAAGATAAATTTTGGGCTCAGTCAGTGGTGGTCATAAGTTGAGGACTACTTGTAACCATATATTAAATGAAATGAAAACTGAATAGACAGCAAATCTCTTCAAAGACAGGGAAACTAAATGAATGGAAGATAGAAACACAGGTCTACCCTGTAAAAGCTTTTGTAATTAATGAGCTTATAAATGCCCCAGATCACTCACGGAGCTGGTCTTCAGATTCCTGTTGTGCTAAGTTATATATCTGACATTTCCAGATAAGTCATTTAAGGATACAGAAACACACCACATTGTGTGCTGAGGACAGCTGGCAGTCTATGAGCAACCCTAATGCGTATTTTTCATATTTATGTTAATGTTTACCACTTACTGAAAATAATGCAGACCAGTTTCATCTAATGATTAGAGTGTTTAATTGCAACCAGGAATGCCTAGATTCCAGTTCTACCTGACTTCATACTTCAATGAATGATTCCAGCCTAGATATTATTTTTCAACGTAACCACCTTCACAGGGCTGTTGTGAACACAGAATGTAGACACGCCTCATCTGCATCACCTTGGGTTTCCTAAATAGCTGTTTTCCCACAGAAATTATTTTTTCTTCAGTATCCTTTGGTGAAGACTTGAAACTAGAAAAGCACAGGTCATACAACGCAATTATCATCTTTCTCCCTTCAATTCAACACTCTCCCAATACAAATTCTGATTTCAAATGAATGATTAGCTTTTAACCTTAGTAAATAGAACACTTTATAGGTAGAAAAATTATGCAAGTCTCAAAATATTTAGGCCTGGTAGAAACCTGACCTCTAGTGGACAAAGGTAACAGTAATTCAGTTCAGTATATTTTAAATGTATTTCAGATTTAAAGACTATCTATTTTGCTAGTTATAAATAATGGATTGCTTATATGACAGAGATAGATAGATAGATAGATAGATAGATAGACAGACAGACAGACAGACAGACAGACAGACAGACAGACAGACAGACAAACTCTGGAAGAGTGACAACTTCTTAGACTCAGTAGTACAACCACTAACATAAAGAAAAAGTAATCAGCAAACTTGGGCTCAAGATAATAAATTATCATTGATATTTTGATATTTTTGCCCAAAACTTTGTACTTTCAAATGCCCAGGGGGAGAGAGAAAGAGTGCTAAAATTCCAGCATAAGGTAATTTTTTCCCCCATTCCTCGAGAAAGCGCAGAATGGATATGACTAGAACAGGAAATACAGTAAACAAACTGTTGAGCAAAGACTGGTTCACCCGTAGGCTGCTTTTGATCTTCAACCTCTTTTTTTTGTTGCCTCCAGAAACTGTACAACTGATTGATGTTTGAGTCCTCGACTTACAACCAAATTGAGTCCAAAATTACAGTTGCGAGTCGTTGCAGTTGTTAAAAGGGCACCACATGTCACCATCTGACCAGACCCAATTTTATATTTTTTGCAGTGTTTGCTAACGGGCTCAATTTGCCCCAATGGACATTTTTGCTGGAAAATGGAAGTAAATGCTAGAAGAAAGCAAAACGCTTTGAAAATCAGGGTCACATGACTGCAGGACACTGCAAATGACGTAAAGAGAAGCTAGTTGTCAAGAGCCCAAAATGCAATCAAGGGAACATGTGTGTGGTACTACAGCTATCATAATTTCGAAATTGGGTCGGAAGTATCTTCTGAGGGTGGTGGGGTACATTGTAACTTCAGTTATTAAGTAACACGGTTTGATGCCTACCTATATCAGTCAAAAAGAGGGCTGTGAAAATATTTACAGACCCCTCGCACCCTGGACATAAACTGTTCCAACTCCTACCCTCAAAACGACAGAGCAGTGCACACCAGAACAACTAGACACAAGAACAGTTTTTTCCCCAAACGCCATCACTCTGCTAAACAAATAATTCCCTCAGCACTGTCAAACTAGTTATTAAGTCTGCACTACTATTAATCTTCTCATCGTTCCTATCACCTCTCTCCCACCACTTATGACTGTATGACTGTAACCTTGTTGCTGGTATCCTTACGATTTATATTGACTGTTTCCCAATATGATTTGATTGCTTATTTGTTCCCTATGACTATCATTAAATGTTGTACCTTATGATTCTTGATGAATGTATCTTTTCTTTTATGTACACTGAGAGTGTATGCACCAAGACAAATTCCTTGTGTCCAATCACACTTGGCCAATAAATTATTCTATTCTATTCTATTCTATTCTATTCTATTCTATTCTATTCTATTCTATTCTATTCTATTCATAATTTTCTGTATTTTACATTGTTAGTGCTATATTTCTAAAGCAATTTTAACTCTTCCAAATCCCTCAAAGCCCCACTTCCAGGAAATAAAAAGTCCTGCCCTGCCCACTCTAGTCACATTGTCTCATTGCTGCTATATCCCTTGCAGTTCTTGATTCCCTAAAAATTGATTTAAAAAAGAAACATTCCCCTCTACTGCCTACTGTTATCAGCTTAATATCCCTGGCTAGTTAACCTTCTACCAAACCTTCCATTGGCTTTTACAACAGAGCAGTAAAAAACTGAAATCAGTGGTAACATCTAGGAAGGTTTCATCATTAATACTATGAAACGCCTTAATCGTAATAACATTAAATATATGAATGTAAATTTAGAACTACGGTAAAATGTATAAATAAGTGCTATTAATAACTTCCAGGTGATATATTAAACTATATATTATTAAATATATATTACACTTAATTTCTAAACAGCCAGCTTTTAATTATTTATGCAAACATTTTTCCAATCCAGAGAAGCAAGGCAGTTTGTAGTAACTTTTAAATCAATAAATCAAAAAATAAAGCCCAACAAAAAATCTCACAACTGATCTCCAAATATATTAATAATTTCTGAACTTGAAAATAAGGATGCCATTTTTGGAAAAAAAATACCTTCAAAGAACAGGAACACTCCGGCTTTTAAAGCACCAAATATCAGGTAATCTAGCTTCCAATTCTTTTTCCACCACAAATTGTGTACTTGGCTTTTGGCAAATCTGTAAAACAAAAGATATATCAGGAATTAAATGTATAGATGATGAAAGAAAAAAAGTCTCTGTAGAGGGAACCATACCTCTTCTTGCAGCAATAAAAGTGCTATAAAGACTTTTCTTTTTAAATATTTCTGGTTATTAATAATGTGATAATTTAATGAAAATACTTGCTTTCTTTAAAGTGAGCCAACAATGGAATGAAGATTTTACAGTATCCTTCCCCTGGAGTGGGGTGGGAATGGAGATTTTACAGTATTCTTCCCCTGCCACGCCCACCAAGCCACGCCCACAGAACCGGTAGTAAAAAAAAATGAATCCCACCACTGGACAGCATTGCCTAGTAACCCTGGCGGTTTTGCTCATACACACCTTTTCATGGCAAGGAGGAATAGAAAGGTAAAGGCAGAGGCAATCCTTCTAATGCTCTGGTAGAAATTGCAGCAAGATCAGCTCCACTTTACCCAGGCATTTTCCATTCCTTAATTCCCCACAGAGAGGAAACATTAGGACAAAGTAAAGTAGGAGTAGGAGGGCTGATAGGATGGACAGGGCAGATGTCCATCCTATCAGCCCCATGAGCTGAAAAGTCAGCCTGTAGGATGTGAGGTGGAGGTTGAAGGTTCAAATCTGTTATCATATCAGATTTTTGTGGATCATTTTCATAGAAATGAATGCTTTGAAAAATTGTTTTTAGAAACACTTTTTTTTTTTTAGGTGCCACAAAATTATCTGTTTTTTTATTTAAACAGACAACAGTGTTAGCCTCCTGGCAAGTTATTTAATTTCATGTTCATGATAGAATTTTGTAGTAAAAGTCAAAGCAATCAACTCAATACTATTAAATATGTTTGAAACTGATCTTTTATTGTAAGGAAACAGAAAGCAAGCTGAGGCTGAAATTGAATATTGACTGAACTGGCAGTAACCCCATATTTAACTCAATGAAATGTACATCTATTTACGTGTTTGTAAAGAGAGACAGTAGAAATTTTCAACAGAATACCGTATTTTTCGGTCTATAAGATGCACTTTCCCCCCCAACAAAAAAATGGGTGGTAATGTCTGTGCATGTTATAGAGTAAATGTTGCCTAAGCCCCACCCACCCGCCGGCTCCACCCTTTGGCTTCCACACACCGTTTTCTGCCTCTGTGCACCCTATTTTCAGCCTCTGTGTGTCCCATTTTCAGCCACTATATATCCCGTTTTCTGTGAGCGGCAGCGGTGGTAGTCCCCGCCACCTGGAACGGACTGAAAACAGGATACATGGAGGCAGAAAATGGGGTGCACAGAGGCCAAAAACGGGACACACAGAGGCAGCGATAGGTGGAGGCGATCCCCGCAGCTTGGAACAGCTGATCAGTGGTATTCCGGAAGGCTGATCCAACTGCCAATCAGCTGCTTGTGCTAAATCAGGCTGCAATAACATGCTGAAGCTGACCAGGCTGTTTTCTGCAAGGATGCTAGGCAGATGAATACCGATGGATGCTGGGAGGCAGAGACAGATTTTTTTTTCTTGTTTTCCTCCCCAAAAGCTAGGTGCATCATATGTTCCGGAGCATCTTATAGTGCAAAAAATACGGTAATTTCATACCAAAGGTTTGAATAGTGCTTTGTCTTTCAGGCTGTTTATTTTAATATAAGATTTGTTATTCTAGAAGAGAAAGTGGAAAAAAGCCAATGTAGGATTAACAGCCATGTTGAACATTCAGTGTACTGTCAAAAGTTGCATTTTTCTGTGTCAACAAATATGTGATTGATGCCATTGAGAACATTCTGATTTATAAACAACAGTGGCTGAGTTCACAAAAAAATCTGATGTAAAAATTGCCTTATGCACAGCAGGGTGTATGAGTTCAGCCAATGGTCCACTTGCTTATTGAACATTATATTCCCACCCCACTCCAGGGGAAGGATACTGTAAAATCTCTATTCCCACCCCAATCCAGGGGAAGGTGCAAAATCCCCATTTCCTCCCGATCAGCCGGGACTCGGGAGGCAGAGAATAGATGGGGGGGGGGCAGTCAGAGGTGGTATTTACCGGTTCTCCGAACTACTCAAAATTTCCGCTACCGGTTCTCCAGAACTGGTCAGAACCTGCTGAATACCACCTCTGGTCTGCACTCCCTCACTGGTGGATATGTGGCATGGATCCTGGTTCATGTGAGTTTGACTTGACACCGTTTCCCTGATAGAAAAAAATATGCTGTTGAAGCACTATTTCTCCATACAGGAGACATATTCCAGAAGACTAAAAGTAGGACACTTTAAAGAGGTGAGGATTAATGGATATCATTCTGCTTCAATAGTTAACCGAAGGGTCTAGAATAGATCAAGCTACTTGCCCAAATCCATTTCCTTATACTTAACATTTTACTTATGCATAACACTTTTTTGTCCCAATTCACACAGTTCAGTGAGCCAGAAAATAGTATGAATAAGAAGGTCTCTCAATGGTTATTGTCATTTTACACAAAGTGGTGGAATAAGCTGGTTCAGTACAGCAAAAGTAAGTAGTAGTCAATGAAACAAAAAAGTAGTTAATACATGTAGGGGATGCGTATTTTCCTCCCCATATTTAATACATTACACAAGAGATGTTGATTTTGATAGAACTGTACAGGAATGATGACATGTCAGCCTGATCCAAGGGAAGGTCAGATGAATATGGAAGCAGGGTTCATATGCATCTCTTGGGGAATGGAAAACTTGCCAATGGATGCTATGCCCGATCTATTCAGTGATCTGGGCTCTATAGAAAATACCTTTCAGGAGGAGGCACAGAGGAGCACATGAAGAGTCCATGCAATAAACAGTTCAATGGTGTCACTTTGGCATATGAGGCAGAATTTGATGAGCATAGTTGTGTTGGAGATATGTTGACTATTTAAACCAGGGGTGTCCAATCTTGACAACTTTTAAGGTTTAGCTCAAGGGTGAAATGCTCCCGGTTTGGACCGGCTCGGGCGAGTAGGTAGCAATGGTGGCGGGCAGTTCGGAGAACCGGTAGCAAAAATCGCTGCCCCCGCCCCCCATGCCCAGCTGAGCCGCGCAATCATCAGAGCCTTTTTTTCCTTTTAAATGGCTCTGACGAGCCAAGATCTGACCATCCCAGCTGAGTTGCCTGCTAATCAGGCAACTCAGCTTGGATCGCCAGAGCCATGTAAAAGAAAAAAAGTTTCTTTTTTTCTCCCCCCGCCCCCAGCCTCCAGCTTGCTTACCTTAGCTGCTGGTTGCAACGCTGTAATACCTGCAATCCATTGTGTCAGCAAGCAACTGAATCTCCCTGCCTGGAATCAAGCTCATCGGTGAGCAGCTCTATCTGCAACTTTAAGACTTGGACTTCAACTCCCAGCAAAGCTGGCTGAGGAATTCTGGGAGTTGAAGTCCACAAGTCTTAAAGTTGCCAAGGTTGGAGAGCCCTGTTCTATTGGGTAAGTTTTTTCCCCCTTTGGGAGCTTTAAAAAAAATAGTTAATTGGAGTTTTTTTTAGTTGTTCTTTTTTTAGACCTAGCCATTTAAAGTTTAGGAAGTTTTAAATTTAGCTGCTTTTATATAAAAATAAAAATAAATAAAAATAAAATAATATTTGTGCAGCTTTCTGAGATTTAGTGTGTTTCTGTAGTGTTTCACTCTAACTACACAAACACACAAAATCTCACAAAGCTGTATGTGGAATTTTGTGTGTGTAAAGTGTGAAAGTTGGTTTTTTGGGCTTTTTGTGGCTGTGTGAGGTTCCTGCTTATTGCAGGGGCCATTTTGGGTCTAGCACAGCTGCCTTTACATTGTGGGTGAGCCAGTTGTGTTGTGTTGTGTTGTGTTTTGTAGGTTAAAAAAGGGCAAAGAAGTGACATTGACTTGGCCACGCCCACCCAGTCACCTTATCACCAAGCCCCCCCCCAATTAAGCCACGCCCACAGAACCGGTACCAAAAAAATTTAGATTTCACCCCTGGTTTAGCACTTTAATACTTACATCCACAAGTCTTAAAATTGCCATGGTTGGACACCCTGATTTAAACACAGCAAAAACTAAGTTGTATTAAACATATCTGCAACCTTTTCACACACACAAGAGAGAATTTCCTCCTGACTGCAAAATCAAATGGTCCTTAATGTAACAGACTATTTCTGATCCCTAAACTGTGCTATTTTACTGATATCACAAGCTTCCCTCCCAGCACCATATTCACACAGTCTACTAACTACCAGGAAGAAATGAAAAAGGCTCACCATAAACGTGAATGTGGCCCAATCGATTGGTAATGAGAACTTTAAAATCTGTCTGATTCAGATTTAAAATATCCTACTATTGTATCAGTGTTTGACCACAGCCTGACTCGGGTATTAAAAGAACAAGCAGAACCTGGGGGCAGGTGGAATCAGCTTGGAATCATTACATTCCCACAAGCAGTCCAAATTCAGCCCCTCTTGAATTCCATTAATTTATGTAGTGCCAATTTAGTGCTGTTAATTGACCACTAGATTTTTATGTCTAGGCATGAACAAATAAATCAGTTTAACTGGAACGTAACGTGTGGTCTTGATTCTTTGTGCATGACAGGTATTTTGCCCAACTCTATAGATAATTAAACCACTAAATTAACATGGTGTGGGATTATGTGGAATATGAGAACCACCTGAGTTTATGAAAGATGGCACAGATGTATGTCTGTTAGTTTTATATCCCATCTTTCATTCAGGGATAGGAGTCTTAACATGTACGAATGAGATGTACAAAACCAATATAATTTGCACTTGTGATTTTTAATCTCCAGATTGCAATTAAATTGGCTTTCTGTCCATTTATATGATTCTCTTTTTAGTACCGTGTTTCCCCGAAAATAAGACCCTGTCTTATATTTTTTTGAACCCTGAAATAAGTGCTTGGCCTAATTGCCATGCGCTCAAAAGCCCGATTGGGTTTATTATCAGGGGATATCTTATTTGGGGGGAAACAGGATACTATTACAATAACTGTAAGATACCTTGAATTTCATGTGGAG